GGGGGGGGCCGTCGCCTGCAGCATCAGCCGCCCGGCACCTCAGACCCCCCCAGGCGGGGGAGGCCCAAGGGGGGGGGCGGGCGGGGACGGGCTGGGGAGGGGGGGGGCCCCATGGCCCCTCCTGGGGCCTGATCCCCCCGGGACAGCCCCCCCTCCCCCGGCTCCGCGGGCCCGGCCCCCTGGGGAGCCCCGGGGCGCAGGCGGGGGGTCGGGGGGCCCCGCCCGCCGCCGCCGCCACCGGCCCCCGCCGCAGGGACAGAGACGGGGCGTCAGGCCGGTCCCGAGGGGGAGGCGGCGGCGGGCGGGGGGGCCGGGACCAAGGCCGCTGCAGGGATGTCGGGGCCCAAGGAGACTGGCGGAGGCGGGGGGCCAGCCTACCACCTACCGCACCCTCACCCCCCGCAGCACGCCCAGTATGTGGGGCCCTACCGGCTCGAGAAGACGCTGGGCAAGGGACAGACAGGTGAGCGGATCAGATGCTGGGATCCCTTGGGGGTGGACAGGGGTGGGGTGCTGACGGCCCAAGCTGAAAGTCCCCAGATGAACAGGGGCTGGGGTCCGGCTCGGCTGCCCGCCACTGCTGGGGATCACAGGCTGGGCACCCAGGGCCCAGGGCGGGGCAGAGGCTGGCTGCATCCCCATGCTGGGTGGGGACTTGGGTACCAAACGCCCGGTCTCCCGGAAGGTCGCTGCTGCAGGGCTGGGGCGCTCACTGCTTGGGGGAGGAGGCAGCTGCTTCCAGCTCTCTACTGCCTGCCCTGGGGCCAAACTTGGAGCTGGGAGAATTTTCTGACCTGAAGCTCCGGACCCACCCAGACCATCTGGATGCCCTTTCCCCCTCCCCCTGAACTCCCACAGCCTGGCCCCTCACTTCTGCTTTGGCCCCTGGCCTGGGCTCCCTGCCACTGGCACCCTCCTCCCAATACATGCGGCTCATTTCTGCACCTACTATGACCTAAGGGCGGAGGTTGGAGGAAAAGATGAGGGGGCAGGGAATTGATTAGCCTGGGGAAGAGGGAGTCTTCAGAGAGATAGGTCAGGGAGACAGAGGGGCAGTGAGACAGAGGGGCAGGGAGGAACGGGGCAGGGAGGGATGGGGCAGAGAGACAGAGGGGCAGGGAGACGGGGGGCAGGGAGACAGAGGGTCAGGGAGACAGAAGGACAGGGAGGAATGGGGCAGGGAGGGATGGGGCAGGGAGACAGAGG